AAATCAACAGAAATAGCAATTGAAAACATGTTTCTGAGCAACATAAGAAACATTGTGGCATTTTAATATGTCCTTTATAAAAACATGTTGTGGTTACTGCTGTCTGGTTTTATAAAGAATGAAAATGGTTAAGTTGCCCTCAATACATCCTTTGTTATTTGGCTCCTTTGACACACTTTCTTTTTTTATTTAAAAATAATATATCTAACTGTTACTTGTCTTTCTGTCCAGTCTATTGATGCCTCAGAGGTAGCAAACATTTTGAATTGATCGCCGCTTTTCACTATTAACAAAGAAAAAGAAAGCAAGACTACGCTAATGATTTTTCTTCCGATACGTGACCATTAAATGAGGAAAAAAAAAAAAAAAAAAAGAGAAAGTGTCCACACTTTTGCCTTTTAATTGGGGCATTTTTAACAGGACAAAGTTGGAAAGCAATTAAGGGGAAAAACATTTTTGTCCTGTCGATCAATTAAGTTTCCAAGTAAATGGCAGAGAGGTAATGATTATGTCCATGCCAGCAAATTATTGTCCTTTTTCATTCTTTTTTTTTTTTTAAAACAATTTATACATTTAATTCAGCCCTTGAAAAACGGCTGCCCTGCCAATTATCTCTCTGTGTGAAGAGAATTAGTTGGGTCTACTTCAAATTTCTCTTCATCTGTTGCCTACTTTCTGATTCCCTTTAATGATAGACTAATGTGCTATGTGAAAAAAGGGAGGATCTTCCGAAATATGTGAAGTGTCTATAGTGGCTTTTTGGTACCTGTGAAGAGGCCCCTTGAAGAAGCTTAAAGGACAATGGAATATTGCGGCTGTCTGTGGTTTATTTTGTCCACACGATTCATTTCACACGCACCCAGGCAACTGATGAATGGAGGATTAACACAAATCTTCACCTTATTGAAATGAGTGATTCACAGCAAACAAATGGGACTAGCTGGTTTGGAATATGAAATTAAAGATTTTCTCAGTTCTTTTGTCTTCTGGAGGTCAGGCTAAAACTGTTTCTAAAAATGAGAACATCAGACGGTTTTGTTAAGGTTTCCTCTATCAATAGTAACCTCTGTTTAGTGGTAACTATGTTGCCTTTATTTTCCTGTACGTAGCATGGACATTAGAGATGAATTCATTGATTTGCCAAAATTGGGATTTTACCTGGACCAAGCTAGTTCTCAGAATTCTGAAAATGTTTGGCAGGTGTTTGCAAATTTTTTCTGCCGTTTTGCCTTAATGTATGAAATTTATGGACATGATTCCTTGTTTGTGGTCCAAGTCTCCATTTAGAAAAGCAGCACAGCAGTTGCCTATTTGGTTGGTGTATACTTTTGTCTGCCTCAGCTGACTCTGCACCACATATTGAAGAGGAAGGGTGTGTGTGTGTGTGTGGGGGGGGGGGGGGGGGGATTGCTGTTCTTAGTTATCATCATCATCTTCAGCACATCAGATTTTTATGACATGTTAGTAATTGCACAGGGATTGCTGGGCTGGATAGTGCCACAGGTAGGTAGGTATAAGAGTAGAGCTGTTTAAAGTAGAAATATGAGCAATGAAATAAAATAACAGATGTGATGCAGTCTGGCACTAGCATTAACACTGCAGTTTTTGTTTTTCTGAGTGCTCCTATTATGTCGTAATATTACCTGTTGATCCTGCCAGTGGATCCAACATTTTTCTATTGGTAATAGGTGACATTGCTGTTCTTTTGCAATGAAAGCACTGATGCATTGTCAACCTGTGGACAGGATAGTTATAGATCAAAAAATACATTTAAATAAATAAGAACTTGGAATTATACCAGCTGTTTGCCACTCATTTCCCTGCACATTATGACTATTATTAGTAATACAAAACAATGTTAAATGGAAACAGTTCAGATCAGATTGACATGTAGTTTGTGATGAACTTTAGGAATTGGACAAACAAAGTACAGCTTAACAGCATTTAACACTTTTTAAAACTTTTTAAAATGTTACAACAACAGGTTTTTCTTTCTGTAGGAAAAAGGGATAGCACTTATGAATGAAAGCTAACCAATGTAACCAGTCCCAGGAGTATAGTTTCTCCCAAACCTGTAATTGTCACTTTTGCTGAGCAGTGTAGTTTGCATGTAAATGTGAAAAAAATATAAAAACAAATGTCTTTGAAATTAAAGAAATAGAAAAAAGAATTAACTCCATACAGTTGCCAGAATATAATACTTTTCTTTAATAAGTAGGATCAGGGAGATCACAAGATGACTATAAGGAAGATTTTGTAACAGTTCTGCTCATTCTCTGTATGATCCAATACCCTATAATGCATATAAAGGTTCTTTCCTTTAAAAAATGACTCATAACAACTTTTTATGCATGACTATTTTTTTTCTGCTGATGATGTGTTAAAGACGTGAAATCACACCCTAGTCATTATTTTTTTATATAATCTTATTATACAATTTTATAACTATAAATATAAATTATATAATATATAATATAATATTTATAAATATAAATTATGCAATAATGCACACATAAATAAACAGCGTGCACAAGGGGGCAGAAATCCTTGTGCAATTAACAATGGTATGCAACACATCATATACACTGCTAAAGAACCAACAAATATAATGCCAACACTCCAGACCTCCAGACATTCCAGGGATAAAGATGTGTATGATGAACACACCCAAGGAGAACAGCATCTCAACAGGCAGACTGGGTGACAAATTGAGGAACAAGAGAGTGTAATAAAGCGCAGCATAGCGCACATCAAAACTTCTAAAATTGGGTTCATATTGAGAACTCTCAGAGCTGCCATAAAAAGCCCAAAGGGGCTGCAAAGCTTTTACTGCGGGAATTTCAAGCACCTGGCCCAGATGACCGAATATACAAGAGCAGGCAAGGAATCATATAACAGAAAACAAAATAGACAATAAAAACAAAGGCATAAGCAGAACATGGATCCAGCAATATGAAAACTAAACTGAGTGCAAAAGTCATCACAGTGCACACAGAACATGTAACAAGTGAGAGTACCTGCTAACAGGTCACGTAGCAGGCTCTGGCAGAACAGCAGTGGAGTAGACGTCTGCAAAAGTAGGCAAAGGGAGTTAGGTCCCCCCATTGCCCCAAGCTATAATGAATCCAAACCACCCAAATAGAACAAAACCATTAATATTTGTCTGCATTTGGCCAACAATTCCTCGGCTTTCATTATATTAGTCACAAACCTCACTCAGTCCATCTGACTAGGAACTTGGGGTGTCTTCAAGTATACCTGAATTAGGCACCAGGCTGCTTTTAAGAGGTGAGGCAAAACACATTTCCTATAATGGCTGAGAGGGATGGAAGGAATATGCAGAAAAAAATGGATGGTCAAATCAGGAACATCAATATCTAGAATGAGTTTGATTTGGGCTCTAATGTCAGACCAGAAGGGGTGGTAAATGTTGGTATTAAAGTTAGCTTGAAAATAATACTGACTGTTTTGTGTAAGAATTGTTTTCTGCCCAAGTTGTGTCAAAATGCACCACATTCTCTATGTATCTGTCAGGGCTTTCACAACAAGATACCAGGTTGTTTCAATCTTTTCACTGTATGTGTCCTTGTTAGGGAATCACTATATGTACAATTCTAAATTGTGTAAAACCTGAAGAGACTCTAAGACAAAGCCTGCATGTATAATAAGTTAAGTTAGCAAATAAATGGCATCACAAAAATGTCACACTTTTTGGATAAATCAGTTGCTAACATGGGACAATACTACAGCTCTTTTCCTCTTTCCATGAAGTTGCACAGAGGTCGACAAACAGTACAAGAAGTCGCACTGATCGACGGCTTTGAAATCGTACTAGTGCGATTTCAAAGCCGCATTCAGTGTGAACCATGGCTAAGACATATCAGCAAACCTATGTATACATGTATATATTATCGTAAGGCTCATCTTTATGTCCAGGAATGGAACAGTGTATATTCTCTTTGGTATCTCCAAATACTGTATGTATTGTTCTACATAATCTTATTGTGTGAAATTTGTCAGATCGAGCTGTGGAACTGTAGAAATGGTATTTCTTCCTAAATATTTAGTGACAAACCTTTTTTACTCTTATATAGGTTTTTGTTCTTTGACATTTTGGTAACAAGACATTAATGACCCTGCTCAGACTTTCTTGAATGTACATTTATTCCCTTCTTGTCAGGAGTGATCCATATACAGTTCATTATATTTTAGTTATACAAGTATAGGAATCATTTTAACCATCTCATGATGCTTTTCTTGAACTGTCAATTCCAATGTATTCTCTGTAATATTCTGTCAGTAATAATCACTGTCTGTAATGTCCAGTATATTATATTTACATTTTTCAAGTCCGAGAGGAACTGTATTTTTTCATAGACATAATTACAAAACTCTTAAAGTGATACTAAAAGAGAAGTGTTAATTGCCATGATTCATTCAAAAAAATCATATATATCATACCACTGTATTTTGTTTTTTCTTTTTAAATCCTCTAAGTACTTTATTCCTGCAGTGCTGTTGTGTGGTCACATGATCTTTCCCTGTTCTTTGGCATCTTCAGGGAAAGATCCATGGGAGGCTCTTCTACTACTCTGTTGATGTATAGTCTCTACAGTGTGAGTCTGTGAGCCTTTATTGATGCTGTCCCTGTCACATAACTAGAAAAAAAAAAACAGTGTCAGAAGAACAATTCAAATTAAATTGTACATATCAAAAAACTCTTTTACAGATCACTATAAACCTTTATTGAACATCAAATGTGTATTTTTTGTGCATTAATATGTTATAGCTGGAGTCAGAGATGACTGACACTAGATTTAATTGTGTTCAGACAGTATCTGCATTAATATTATTATTATTATTATTATTAGAGATGAGCGAATTATTCAAAAATTCGATTCGACTGATTCGGCGAATTCGTGAAAAAATTTTGATTCGAGTCGAATATATTCGCTGCGAATTTAACTTTTAAAAGGGTGTTTCTAGGCTTCAGAGAGCCTTTATATTAGTGCAGAACACTGTACCTTTAATTTAAATGCCCTTGGAGTCTGCTGGGGAAGAGAAATAATACTGTCAGTCAGTATGACATGCAGATGAGTGCCGTCGATCTTAGAATCACCGCACACTTCACTCATTTGGGCAGTCACGGGGCCAAAACCAGAGTGTGGAGCCACAGTGTGGCGGTGGAGGCAGCAGCAATGGAGGCCATACAGCACCCTATGACAAAATGGAACCCACCAGCAGTGTGAGGAGACCTGAAAGTGGCACATGGCAGAGTGTGGCGATGGAGACAGCAGCAATGGGAGGCCGTACAGGGACCCATGACACACTCTGGACCTGGCAGCAGCATGAGGAGGCGGTACAGGGGCCCATGACAGACTACGGGCCTGGCAGCAGCATGAGGAGTTGGTACGGGGGCCCATGGCAGATTACGGGCCTGGCAGCAGCAATGGGAGGCCGTACAGGGACCCATGACACACTCTGGACCTGGCAGCAGCATGAGGAGGCGGTACAGGGGCCCATGACAGATTACGGGCCTGGCAGCAGCATGAGGAGTTGGTACGGGGGCCCATGGCAGATTACGGGCCTGGCAGCAGCAATGGGAGGCCGTACAGGGACCCATAAAAGACAAAAATAAAAATGCAATTGGCGCAAGAGAATTTGTAGTGGACATAACGTTCACTCAGCAAACCTTAAACAAAATAATCCAGTAAACAGAAATTAAGATATATAATCGTACATGCCAGTAATAAGGGGGCAACAAGTAGATGATGCAGCTTTAGTGGTGAGGAAAGGGAAGGGGGGAGGGGAGGGGGGGTAGGGAAAGGAGGGGAAAAAAGGCCTTGTGATGCAAACAGTACTGGATTGAGATAGATGGTATATATATGTGTATACATATATATACAACGCTGCAATGTAGACACCGTCGTGAGGCTTGCACTTTCTAGAGTAAACCGGACTCTGTGGTAAATGGAGAAGAAAGAGAAGTGCGCCAGACTAAGTGCAGTATGAATATAAAAGTTTATTGCACACAAGACCCATGACACACTCTGGACCTGGCAGCAGCATGAGGAGGCGGTACAGGGGCCCATGACAGATTACGGGCCTGGCAGCAGCATGAGGAGTCGGTACGGGGGCCCATGACACACTCTGGACCTGGCAGCAGCATGAGGAGGCGGTACAGGGGCCCATGACAGATTACGGGCCTGGCAGCAGCATGAGGAGTTGGTACGGGGGCCCATGGCAGATTACGGGCCTGGCAGCAGCAATGGGAGGCCGTACAGGGACCCATAAAAGACAAAAATAAAAATGCAATTGGCGCAAGAGAATTTGTAGTGGACATAACGTTCACTCAGCAAACCTTAAACAAAATAATCCAGTAAACAGAAATTAAGATATATAATCGTACATGCCAGTAATAAGGGGGCAACAAGTAGATGATGCAGCTTTAGTGGTAAGAGAAGTGCGCCAGACTAAGTGCAGTATGAATATAAAAGTTTATTGCACACAAGACCCATGACACACTCTGGACCTGGCAGCAGCATGAGGAGGCGGTACAGGGGCCCATGACAGATTACGAGCCTGGCAGCAGCAACTTGGACAGGAGGACGTTCAGCTTCTGCACCGTCGGGTGCGTGCTCGCAAACTGTTGTCTCTTGGAAACGGATTCCAAGAAAGACTGCTGACGGAATCCGTGAAGAGGAGTAGCAGGAGAAGGAGCATCTGAACGAGCGGAATATGCCAACAAGCGACAACAGGGGCCCATGACAGATTACGGGCCTGGCAGCAGCATGAGGAGTCGGTACGGGGGCCCATGGCAGATTACGGGCCTGGCAGCAGCAATGGGAGGCCCGTAATCTGCCAGCACCCTATGACAAAAAATGGAACCCACCAGCAGTGTGAGGAGACCTGAAAGTGGCACATGGCAGAGTGTGGCGATGGAGACAGCAGCAATGGGAGGCCGTACAGGGACCCATGAGACACTGTGGACCTAGGCAGCAGCATGAGGAGGCGGTACAGGGGCCCATGGCAGATTAGGGGCCTGGCAGCAGCTATGGGAGGCCCGTAATCTGCCAGCACCCTATGACAAAAAATGGAACACACCAGCAGTGTGAGGCGACCTGAAAGTGGCACATGGCATGAGACACTGTGGACCTGGCAGCAGCATGAGGAGGCGGTACAGGGGCCCATGGCAGATTAGGGGCCTGGCAGCAGCAATGGGAGGCCCGTAATCTGCCAGCACCCTATGACAAAAAATGGAACACACCAGCAGTGTGAGGAGACCTGAAAGTGGCACATGGCAGAGTGTGGCGATGGAGACAGCAGCAATGGGAGGCCGTACAGGGACCCATGAGACACTGTGGACCTGGCAGCAGCATGAGGAGGCGGTACAGGGGCCCATGGCAGATTAGGGGCCTGGCAGCAGCAATGGAGGCCCGTAATCTGCCAGCACCCTATGACAAAAATGGAACACACCAGCAGTGTGAGGAACCTGAAAGTGGCACATGGCAGAGTGTGGCGATGGAGACAGCAGCAATGGGAGGCCGTACAGGGACCCATGAGACACTGTGGGCCTGGCAGCAGCATGAGAGGCAGTACAGGGGCCCATGGCAGATGGGAGGGCCCTAACTGCCAGCACCCAACAAAAAATGGAACACACCCCCTTTTTGGAGGAGACCGAAAGTGGACAAGGCAGAGTTGGGTGGC